GATTTATTTTATATCAAATACATTAAAATTGGATGATTTATGCTGCGTCTGGAGTACAGCTTTAACGACATTTATTGCTATGGCACAATTTTCAGTGCATACACCTATACAAAACTAAACACACCGAAGAAGACCAGCCCAGCAAACAAAAATGGATTGAAATAAATTGGAAATTTTCAATCTATCCGAATCCGTATTTTAAATCCATAAAAATGGATTGAATTCCATATAAAAAATTTTTATACATGTAAAAGTTTAAATAAATTAAAGTTAATTAATTACATAAAATTTTATAGTTATTTATTTTAAAATTTTTATACAAAAAATTACGCTAGCTATATAATAAAGGAAACGTATTAATATAAAATATACATAAAAGCGATTAATTTATTAATTATTATAAAAATAAGGAATTTACACATGTAACATTTATTGCACATATTTACATAGTTCTTTTTATGTCTCTTTTGAGTATTAAATGAAGTAGATTTCATGATATATTTTTACTTTTTTTTCTCAATTCAGTTGAATTAAAACGAAAAATTTCTTATTTATAATTCTGAATAAAATAGCATTCATGATGCATTTTTAAATGAAACAATGGATTTTCTACTCACAATTTTGAACTGAATAGTATTCATGGCCCATTTTAAGAAAATAGGCCATTAAAAGATAAACTTTTTTTATTAATTGGATTAAAAAACTGCATTTCCTATTCAGAATTTTAAATTTAGCAATATTTACAGTGCACGGAAATGACCGATATTATCTTTAGAAAGAGAGAGATTTAACTGGATTGAAAATCCTATTCAGGATTTTAAATTAAGCAATATTCACGATGCACACAAAATACTATAATATTATTTTTAGATTGAAAAGCATAGAAATTTGCTCTATGCCATAAGTGAATAAAAATGCATTCAAGATTGAGAAGTAATAGATATTTACTTTATGCAATTCCTACAAATGAATAAAAATGCACTAAGGATTGAAAAGGATTCATTTTAACAGTAATTTTAACATTCATATTTTTGAAAATCTGAATCCATTTCAATCCATTTCAATCCATTCTTATTTGCTGGGAAGTTATCGAAGATTCTAACGTACAAATGGCGAGAGGAATAGAAAGGCATATGTATCGATATATTGTGTGTGTGTGTGTGTGTGTGTGTGTGTGTGTGTGTGTGTGTGCGTGCGTGCGTGCGTGCGTGCGTGTGCGTGTGCGTGTGTGTAAGCGCACTGTGACTTTCACCGGCACGCGTTAAGAAACGTACCAGCGATCGATTACGCAATAATTTACGTAGCCGTGATAGTA